GGGGTTTCACCATGTTGACCAGGATGGTCTTGATCTCTTGACCTCGTGATCCACCCGCCTCAGCCTCCCAAAGTGCTGGGATTACAGGCTTGAGCCACCGCACCCGGCCGGATATATATATTTTTTGATACAGGGTCTTGCTCTCTTGCCCAGATGGGAGTGCAGTGGCATGATCTTGGCCCACTGCAGCCTCTACCTCCTGAGCTCAACCAGTCCTCCCGCCCCAGCCTCCCAAGTAGCTGAGATACAGGTGTGCGCTACCTTGCCCAGCTGATTTTTGTATTTTTGTAGAGATAAGGTCTTGCCATGTTGCCCAGGCTGGTGTTGAACTCCTGAGCTCAAGTCATCCACTCGCCTCAGCCTCCTAAAGTGCTGGAATTACAGGTGTGAGCCACCATGCCCAGCCTCTTTTTAGGAATATTTTTGATCTGCATCACATATTTTGATCAATATTTTTTTTTGTTGAGACAGAGTCTTGCTCTGTCACCAGGTGCCAGGCTGGAGTGCAGTGGCGTGATCTCGGCACAGTGCAACCTCTGTCCTGGGTTCAAGCGTTCTCCTGCCTCAGCCTCCCGAGTAGCTGGGACTACAGGCTTGCGCCACCATGCCCAGCTAATTTTTGTATTTTTTAATAGAGACGGGGTTTCACCATGTTGGCCAGGATGGTCTCGATCTCTTGACCTTGTGATCCACCCGCCTTGGCCTCCCAAAGTGCTGGATTACAGGCATGAGCCACCGTGCCCGGCTTGATCAATGTATTTTTGGGAATATTTTGATTTGGGTTATGGAACCCATGGATAGTGAGGGCTGACTCTATCTGCTGCTGCTTCTTTGGTGGAACCTCGAGTTATACAGGTATATTCATGATATAATGTTAAGTGAGAAGTGGAGAATCCAAACTATATTGTCTAGTATCATGTTTGAAAACTTTAAAAATTACATATATGTACAAAAAAAGACTGGAAGAAAATAATAGTAGTAATCACAGAGTGGTGGAATTATGAGTGTCCTTCATTTTATCGTTGTCTCTTACTGTATTTTCTAATTTTTCTGTAATGACCATTTATTTTGTTGTATTAATTTTTTTGTATTCCTTTTATAATCTAAAAAATGAAAAGAGGGGATTTGGTTTTGATTTCTGAGTAATAGACTAGAATAGCTGTTTTGTTGTTTTGTGGAGACCCTATTTTAAAATTCTTGAACCAATAAATTATGTTCTGGGTTAGAACTAGAGCTAATTTTGTGAGTTCTGCTTTAAAAATAAGTATAGATTGAAGACTTGGGTATGTTTCAGGAAAGCTAACCTTTCTATTTGGTAGGCTTCGCTCTTTGTTCAGAATAGACTGATACTGCAAGAATCCTAATCAAATGTTTCCAAGGACTGGAACATTCTCAGCCTTCAGTTACTTGTTTTCCTTGAACAAAACAGGAAGTTGTGGCACCGTTCTCTAGTTATACATGAAATATAGTGTTTTAGCAGTTCTGAAAATAGAATGTGAAAGACCATCCTTTTCCTTGTTTTACCTTTAGTGGTACCCCAAGTCCTCCCATCAGTGTTCAGGATGGTTTATCCTATAAACTGTAGATCTGCAGTTCTCTTAATTGAGTAATTTAAGGTAGTTATTCTTTAGAAGACCACCTAGAAGCACTGTCTATTGTGGGAACTGTGTCTAAAATCAGTTACCTGGAATCTAAGTCTTAGATTGCTGATTTCTGATGACTCCTGCTTGACATGTTTGTTGGTTCTAGCCAGTATTAGGCAAAAACTCTCTTTTCATATGCTACAGTAAAGTCACATCACATGCTTATTTAACTTAAATAAATTCAATATACGTGCTGGGAAAAAAATGGTACAAGATTAAAAATAATGTATTTATATTTTGTATATATGTTTTTTAAATTTTATTTTTTTAGAGATAGGATCTTGCTGTGTTGTCCAGGCTAAACTCAAACTTCTGGGCTCAAGTAATCTTTCTGCCTCTGTATATACATTTTTATTATAAGACATTCATTACTGTATACAGATAATTGTTTTGTAGTTTAGTAAAGTATAATTTATATAAAATACAATTCATTCCTTTTAGAATACAGTTTATGACTTTGGACAAATATAGTCTTATAATGACCACAGTCAAGATAAATGACCAATATGGTTTGACTGTGTTCTCACCCAAATCTCATCTTGAATTGCAGTTCCCATAGTCCTCACATATCATGGGAGGGACCCGGTGAAAGCAGTGAATCATGGGGGCAGTTACACCCATGCAGTTCTTATGATATTGAGTGAGTTCTCATGAGATGGTTTTGTAAGGGGCTTTTTCCCCTTTGCTTGGTACTTCTTCCTGCTGCCATGTGAAGAAAAATATGTTTACTTTCCCTTCCGCCATGATTTTAAGTTTCCTGAGGCTTCCCCAGCCATGCTGAACTGTGAGTCAATTAAACCTCTTTACTTTATGAATTACCCAGTCTTGAGTATGTCCTTTTAGCAGTATGAGAACAGACTAATACAATGATATTTCCATTGGTTCCAGACTCCCAGGTCCTGGCAACCCTGGGCCTGTGTTCTTCCCTAAAGCTGTTGCAGCATACATTGTTATTTATAATTTATATTTATTAATAATGTACAGGTTTCATTTATAGTGTTTTTGGGGTGATTTGGGGAAAATTTGAGGGAAATTTTATTTTGACCTGATTTTACCATCACTCTGATTTTAGCATCTCCCTGCCTAATAACCTACAACTGCTCTGAATTTCATTCTTGCTCCTGCCCTCCTGTTGCTGCCAGGACGTGCCAAGTGAAGATCAGAAGTGCTCCCATCCCAGTGCTTAAAGTAAGCTTTTTTTCTTTTTTTGAGACAGAGTTTTGCTCTTGTCACTCAGGCGGGAGTGCAGTGGCGTGATCTCAGCTCACTGCAACCTCCACCTCCTGGGTTCAAGTGATTCTCCTGTCCTGCCCCAGCCTCCCAAGTAGCTGGGAGTTTAGGTGCCCGCCACCACACCCGGCTAATTTTTGTAATTTTTTAGTATGTTGGCCAGGCTGGTCTTGAATTCCTGACCTTGGGTGACCCACCCACCTTGGCCTCCCAGAGTGCTGAGATTACACGTGTGAGCCACTGCACCTGGCCCAAAGTAACCTATCTTATCCCTCAGAGAAGAGAGAGAATTTGAGCACACAAATATTTCCCT